TGTAAGATGCAATTCTTAAGTGAAACTGTTAAGTGGTGGACAGTATAATTCACGGCGAGTAGCTTTCTCTGCTTGGTAATATTTCTTGCCCATAGACAATACATATATACGCTTATATGCACAAGTGAAGTCTGCTTTGTTAGCTGAGTTAGTCATTTGCAGTCACATTTACTTGGAAGAAGAGTTCATGTTTTTCTGTTCTTTTTTTATTGTTGTTATTTGTGTTTTTGTCACTCGACACACGACATAAGTATGTAATTGCGTATGAGTATGTACATATATAACACTTACTTAACATTGGTGTTTGTTTAACCTACCCTTTAGTCGCCTTATCCGCTCAATAGCTCCTTTCTGTTCTTCTTGGAATTCGTAATTTTCTTTTGCTTTCAACTAATATTTGCATTTCTTTGTAAAAGATATACCTTTGATTACTGTTAAATGCAGATTCCGATGTATATAATGAAAGAGGGGAGAAACTTCATGTGTGGGATTCTTTGGTGCACTTGTTTGGTGGGTCCTAAGAAGCTTCTCTTCATCCCTACTCTGAAAAATACCTCCCATGAAGAGATGCATGGGCATAGCTGGTGTACTTGAAGCATTCAAGCGTTTGTTATTTGTTTAAAGAAGTGTTTTTTTGAGTTTATTGCAGAGCATTCCCTTATATATTTAATACTGTTAGAGCCTAATACAGCCTAGCGAAAATCATTTGAGTGCTGACTTTCCCTAAAATGTATGTTTTCTTCACAGAAAGCTTTAGAAACTAAACTTTGTGAATAAAATGAATTCTTCTACCGCAGTGTTTTCAATGATCTAATCGGAGTTCGTCTTTTTTGACTTCTGTTACTCGATTTATACTCAGCTCGGTTTGACTCGCTCAGCAGAGTCGGTAACTCGAGCAACTGCGGATCGCTTGCTCTAGTGGATAATGCACACCCTCAGAGATGACGTACAGTGCGCATCGAAGACGCTATTGCTACTGTGAAGCAGACCATCAAAGAAGAAGACTAGAATGAGTCCATCCGCCAATTGGAGTTATGGAGTTTATGGAAGATTTTGCGAGAGGATCTGGTTTGCGAGCTTACAAAATCCAATTCGCGCAAGGATTGAAGTCGAACAACATTCATGCGGATCGCCGTTTCATTGAATGGGCTCAAAACGTGGTAGGTACCGAAGCTTATTTCCACAAGAAAATTTTCTTCAGCGTTGGAGGTCACTTTTGAACGAATGGGCACGTTATTCAAAAAAATTATGGCATTTGGAGCGAGGATAATACAGAAACCATTGTTGAGTCGCCTTTATATCCTCAGAAAGTCATTGTTTGGTGTGGTATATGGGCAGAGTGTATCATCGGTCCATATTACTTCAAAAATGAAGGCGCCTACAAGGTTGCAGTTGAGAGGGACGCTTTAGAGCCATAATTAATACCTTTTTCGTGAGGGTTGTTAATGTGGACGACCAAGACGGCGCTACCTGCCATGCAGTCAACGAAGCTATCAATTTATTTAAAGTAAATTTTTGGTAAACACATGATCTCGCATGGTGCGCTTGTGGGGTGGCCTTCAAGATCGTTATGTAAAGTCGCTTGTCAGCGGAGTTAAACCCGAAACCGATGAGGCTTTGGGAAGAATATTATGCGCATTATTGCTGACATACATTAAAAAAGTGGTCGAACATTGAACCTCTTAACTGCAGCTTATTCGAGCCAACCACAGCGATCACGTGCCTGAAATCATTTTAAAACATTACTTCAAGCCCTCATCTTTATAATGGAGCCAAATTTTTGGCCATAACGTTAACTTATATGCGTTCTATAACTTCATGTCTATAAAAAACGACCGCTGAACGATATCCAATATCCATATTTCATCTAGTCCTTTAAACTACGAAACTCCTAGATGAGTTCTAGATAAGGCCCGACAGAAGCAGAGGAGTGGCCAGAGCGTGTGGCATCGTTACTGAAGCTTGTTTTTCCTCGGTGCTCTTGATCTTGGCGATCCTTCATGTCGGTAAGGCATTGCATATGTTTTGGTTAATTCTGTACCTACCTGCCTACGGTCCATATTTCTCATATTACAGAGATACCAAACCGTAAACGCAAGCAATTTCATCCACTTAAGGCATGCCATTGGCAATCGGCACATGGATTTATCGATACACCTGTTGGTAAACACACACAAACACATACAGGTTTTGTAGTTGTTGCTCATTTTCATTCACCGTCACTTGTAAGCTCTGCCACCTCATGCGCATAAATTTCCAGCCATTTGTGTTTTCCTCGCTTTGCTCTGATTGTTTCTGCTCGACACACAATTCTTATTCAGCCTTGGATTTGCGTTAATGGGTGCGAGCGCACACAGCCAAACGGTGCGAGCAGTAATTTTATGCATATGCACAGTCTGTTGAGGCCATTTTTCAATTGTACAAAAGCTCAAATGAAATTACTCGCTTTATCCTGCAAAATTTACGCTCAAATCGCTTAGCTAAAAATATTTTTCGTAAATTAAATTATATGTAATTTGAGTAACCTTTTTCTTTCACTCTGGGGATCAATTTTCGAAAAGCTTTCTGTCGCTTTACAATGCATCTGAGACAGCTTTGTCTGATACTGGAACCAACGCTTACCTGGGAAGCAGCGAGAGAGAGTTGATTCTGGTTTTGGTTATTTAGAGCTCAGAGGACCGCAACATACGAGCAGAGGGCTCGTTTACACTAAATTCCAACTTATTGCTAGAGTGTTGCCGCTCTCTACAGGAAGTGACCAAACAGAACAGACTATTTCTTGCGTGGATTCCTAGTCACAGGAACATCGGGCGTATCAACTACCAAGGTACTACCATGCAAACTCCAATCGATGAAGAAGTGTACGCCTTTTGCCACTTGCAAATTGCTTCTCAAGAAATTTACAAGATGGAACGATACTACAACCTGACCCGAATCCTAGCACACCTGGTAGAAATGGGATAAGCAAACATCAAGTGATATTTACTCCTTAAAAAAAGAGGGTGATAATGAAGAGAAAGATGGTGAGGAGAGATAACCATTACTTACCTCCTATACGACTATCATGCTTTCAGCAGGGCTAGGTTGCGGGACCTTAGGACCCTATTGCTGAATCGGAGATAGCCAAGGTTAAAGTCATGGATCTAATGAGGTGCATTAGATAATAAAAATGGCTGGGTAATGAAGCCTGTTGCTCAGGTTTTTGTTCCTGTGACATCACAATGCGTCTTCATCCTACCTAATTGAAACCGTTAAGATAGACCGGTGGCCACCACAAGCTTTAACCTATTAACAGTTTGAAGATAATATAGAAACCAAAAATGTGATCTAGTGACCGATGCTAAGAGCATACTGAGCTTATGGAGGAGACACTTCTTCACACTGCTAAATTGCAATAAGAGTGAAACAGGCGAAAATAACGAACCCAAATCTCCAATCGATAACGCTAGAATAGAGGTTCCGATATCCGACTTTAACGAAGTGCGAAGAGCAATTGCTTGCTTGAAGAATAATAACACGGCGAAAGCGAAAATTCAGTCTCAGTCTTGCAAACGCCATTCAAACAGTGCAATTGTAATGCCATTTTTTATAAAAAAGGCTTCAGTACCGACTTTCCGTCAAGCTTTAACCCATTCGTGTAGAAGTTCAGTGCTACTTTTCTCCAGTGTCATTTTAAATTCCAGTCAGTTCTTGTGTGAAAGGATGGAGATGCAGCCGCTCGGCACCAGCTCGCTCGCCGATACAATAAATGGAAGCAAGTCACTAAGTCTGCAACGATTTTTATAGCGATAGACCTACCTGCATTAAGGACAAACATCTTACCGTACATAACCTCAAGCGCCAAGGTTGGAGTAGTTCGTAAAGCATCATAGAGGCTTATGAGAGCTATGTGTTGAACAGTTTTTAGCTGCTTAGCAAAATTAAGTCTTTCTGGTGACTTCCACCATATAAAAACACGGTCAAATAAGATTGGCTAGTCTATATTGGTGTAGATCTAATGCAATACTCGTACCGATTGTAGACTTGTATTCAAAACTTTCTTCTCCCTCCCCAAACCTTTCTTCTTCCACGTTCACCAGCTAATTTGCTGCTAGTTCTTTTTTAAGTGGATTTTTGCGAAGATAAATATTCGCTGGTTTCGAGAGCTTAATTCTCCTCATTCACTACTGGGGTAGCCACATCTACGTGCTTTTAACCGAGCTAACTACAGCGCACCAATCATTCCTTCTTTTCGATATTTAGAACCAATTTGAAATACCAAATATAGCCAGATCTTTCTCAATTTGGTATTTCCAGCGAAGTAGCGGTCTTCTCCGTCCTCTGCTCTACCTCACCTACCCAACGTAGCCGCGCTCAGAGGACAATAAATCTTACGCAAAACCGATCATGACAGAGCTTTTCATGTTGCTTAACGTCTGTTTACCCATATAAGGTTTGTGGGGATACAAACTGAGACATAGCGGCGTAGAGTCCTGCTTTAGTCCCTGCATCCCATTCACCTTTTCCGTTCTTCTCAGCTGCATGTGTATAGCTCGGCCGTCAATTCATCGGTCCCTCCACCTTGCTGTATTTCAAACAGGCAATTGCTATTCGAACTTACTGAAAGCCGTACATTGGAACAACTGTTCCATCGTCGTCGATTGGTGTGCCGTTTTCACTGCCATTAAGCAGACTGAAGAGTGTGTTTCTTTCATAAATTCAGTATATCCCCTGTCCACAAGCCATGTCGGCCTTTTTCTTTTTGGTCTGCACATGCGTCTTACTTCCGCTTGCGTCAAATCTCGGCATCTATAACAACACACGCGTGGTGGTCGATCGTATCGTTGCGAGGCAGGCAGCCTCTTTTCTCTACACTTCTGCATGGCAATCCTCATCGCACCAACTGTTTTGCGACCTATCCATGCACCAATAGGTGCGCTTGCAGCTGTGCATATGGCGCTTGAAATGCCGTCCCACAATTAACCAATTACATAATTATAATATGGAGTTACGAGTATGTTTAATTATAGCTCAAAGATCATAAAAGTAATTATATTCGTACAATACATATCTTAATAATACCAAAGTGAATGAGATTATGTCACAGTTTACGACGAGGCCAAGACCGTCTGAATCCACGCCAGATATGTAGCCACGTTCACGTAAACACCAGGCACGCCACCTTGGCCACAGCCAATACCCCAAGCCACCAAGCCGACTACATACCAAATATTGTTATTCTGACAAACGAGTGGTGCGCCGCCGTCCCCCTGTGCGAGAGAGAGTAGAAAGAGTATATTTACACCGTGCATATATTGCATATATTACATAAGCAAAAACGCATGAACTAACTCACCGTACACGCATCCTTGCCCGCTTGACCACCAGCACAAATGAAGCTGCTATTATTCAGTTGAAAAGTTTGTCCCAGACGTGTAGACTGCAACAACGTTTGACAAACTGAGTTTGTAATGAGCGGCACATCGACTTCACGTTGTATCGCTTGATAAGCGCCAGTCGGCCCAAAATCATTCTTACCCCAACCGGCAACAAAGCAAGTTTGACCAACAAATGTGGTTAGGGGCAAGCAAACGGTACCCACGGTGGACTTGGACGTGAGCGAGACGGCAGAAGCGAGTCGTATTATAGCGACATCATTTTGTAAATTGGCGGCATTGAAATTTGGATGTATGAAAACAGCAGCAATGGCAACATCTTGTGCGGGTATCGGTTCCGAGGTACTGGCAGCATCCCATTCGCCGACGCGCACCTTGAAAGATGAGGTGCTGTATAATAAGGGAGAAAGGCGTCAACTTTAATCACATTTTCTATGTGCATACATGTATGTATGTGTGTTTAAACCGTTTAGACTTACGCTATATTATAGACTTTATGAGCGGCAGTGAGCACATGTTGTGCTGTAATCAGCGCCCCTGCACCCAAATATACTTCGGCTGTGGTGAGCAAGGCTGCCACCCAAGGATATTCACCGAATTGCGCTTGACCTGCGCCAGCTGCTGAACTGCCGGGCGGTGGCGAATAGCGACGTCCGCATTGGTACGAACCAGCTTCACAGCATAGTGTGAGACCGTAATTACAGGTGATCGGTGAGACGGTGGGCGTAACAGTCGGCTAATAAGTTGAGAAAATGTGCAGTTAATAAACTTATAAACATACGAGTATGTACGAGCACACGGGTTGTTTGCGCGCAATCTCACTTACATTGGTATTCACGATACGGATGTCGATTTGTCCGCTGCCATCCGTTGGCGCTGTAGGTATTGGATTGAGGCATGAACCAGGCGGTACGCAAATGCAATAGGATGATGTAATGGGCGAAAGAGTGAAAGCTGGTGCCGTTCCGACTATCAGTTGGCGCGTTAAAACTGAGCGGGGTTAAGTTAATATTCGGTTATTATTTGGAAATTATTAACTTTGGAATATAGATATGTTCGGGTAAGAAGCCGATAGATTCACTTATACGAAGCTGTCTATCTCTTTATAACCGCTAAAGTAATTTTCGGCCGAGCTCCTCTTCCAATTAGTGGTGTGACCTACTCTATTGTACTAAGCCGCATCTGATGGGCTGATATTCTTTAGAGGAGCTTTTTATTAGGTGTCAAAAATAGGCACGAAGTGTGCCGAAGTGTGACGGCGACGACAATTATAAAACTTAATTTTAAAATTAATTTTCTCTGATGTTCTATATTGCTCTGGTCAGGCCTCTAACGCATGACCATTCGCATGACACTGCGCAGTGCTAACTACTCATCTAACGCTACCAATAAGGGTTCACCATTATGTTCTAAAAATGAGCTCCAGCATCGATAAATTCCAGTCGCGAGAACCAATTTTCGACCGCTTTCTCTTTCCTGCGTAGACAAGACCACGACGCCAGATAATTTTCTCACCAAATTTCCTATAGCAAATTGATTGCTTCGTTGGCTGTATGACCATCTTGTTGGAACCAAAGTCGTCCACATCAACATCCTCTAGTTCAGATAGCAGATGAAGAGCTCGCCTAGTCCCAAGTAAGACTAGAGCAATGAAGATATGAATACTATATATTGAGTACACTCAACTCCTAGCTGGCCCGACTTGACATACCTTACGCATGTTCTCACAACCTCTGTGCATGCACACTAATACCAGCTCATCTAACAACTCTCTATTTCTCGCTCTCTCTCTCTCTGGTGCGAAAGTGTCAAAAAGCTCGTTTCTAGGATCACCCATTAGATGGACTCTACGACATATACTGATTTTACCCACTCTTAGGTACGGGTGAGCCAGCCGGTATAACAACAGCAACAGAAGGTCTATGAAATTATAAATGATAGCAGAAAAATCCAGCTTATGTGGGAACAAATTTGAATTGGACACATAAAGAGAAGCCAGATATCTCTTAATCTCATCTATCTGGCGGCGTCGAGCTTATTGTTTTTTCTGTGTTTTCACCGAACATTTTTTTAGTTTTCAAAAACCTTTGAAACTGAAGTGCTTTTTACGATGGGCGACAGGACATAGCCAGCGTAGCTGCGATCTTTAAATTCGCTCAACTCCGTCGGCGCCAATACGCAGAGTACCGAAATTCTTTCGAAATACAATTCTCCCGAAAACCCATAGTGAATAATCATCGGATAGCATCGTCACGTCTCCGAGTCATAAAGCCGGGTGATTATTGAGTTTCGTAAAGATCGGACTATACATTTCAATTACCTACTCAGACCAAAGTAATCCTTTTTGGAGAGAGTGAATCTGCGCATTAGATTTAGAGACTGTTAATTCGGAAGTCTAAGTTATGCCTGTTAAGAGTGACATGGGAGTCAAAGACGAATACGCCGACGGTATGTTTGATGACAGGAGATATTGGAGATATTTCGTCTTGTCCTCTTTCGTTGAAATACCACTCCGCCTCGCTGCCTTGTGTAGTCTTGAGAGAGAGAGAGAGAGAGAAAAAGATTTACTTCGGAACAAAGTTTGCAAATCTTGTGAATTTACTCGAACGATATTTTCAGCACAGCGTCCAATATTCGCGCAGCAGAGCTGATAGTTTGAGCAACCATAGATCGATTTCGCACCATGGCAGAGACGACGTACAGTGCGCATCGAAGACGCTACTTCTACTATAGAGCAGAGTGTCGAAGAAGATTCGAATGAATCCGTCCGACACCTCGCGCAACAACTTTATCTGTGACCATCCACTTTATGGAAGATTTTGTGGAAGAATCTTCGCCCAAGAAATGAAACCGAACGACCATCAAGCGCGTCGCATTTTTGGTGAATGGACCCAAAACGAGATGCCCACCGATTCCGATCTTTACAAGAAAATTTTGTTCCTCAAAGTAAAATCACTGTTGAGACACCGTTATATCTTCACAAAGTCAATGTTATTGGTTCATATTTCTTCAAAACTGAAGCCGAGAATAATATTAAAGTCATTGAGGAGCACTATAAAGCCATGATTAGTGACTTTTTCGTGCCTGAATTTGACGGATGTTTATGTGGACGTCCTTTGGTTCCTAGAAGACGACGCTACATACCATATAACCAAGGAAACGATCAATTTATTTAAGGAAACTTTTAGTGAGTATTATCTCAAATCGTGGGCTTGTGGCATGATTCAACACTGCTGGCCTATTTTGTGTGGAGTTATTTGAAGGCCTTTGCCTACGCGGGCAAGCCCGGGACAATAGACACCCTTTATTTCGCATATACAAATTAAACAAAATTAAACATTTTCCTTTGAAATTCATATTTTAAATATTTATATTTTTTTGTTTTTATAAAATTCGCACAACACCCAAACGGTAAAGCTTTTGAAATTTCGTATCACCTGTTGCGGCTGAAGGAGCAGCATTAGTACCATCAGCACCGCTGTTACTGCCGCCATTAACTGAGCTAAATCCGCTATTGCGACGAACCGAATCAACCGTGGATAAGCCATATACGCCAGGGATATAATACGGCCAAAGTGCCACAGCGCACAACAACAAACAAATATAGGCAAATTCACAGAAGTGAAATTGCATTTTATGCATTACACGTTGAAACGGCAAATGTGAATGTGTATGTGCGAATGTTGCGAATGTTAATATTATATATATATCCTTAAGAGGAAGGTCCTTTGTTAAATATGTATGTATGTATTCACTTATAATTTCAATATTTATTTTGTGCAGAGATATCGCGTGTGGATGCTACTAATATTTTTCATATTCAAAATCACTTGAAACTCCGCACACTCGTTCACTTCGTACTAGTTAGTAATCCACTCGACGAGCCGCGTTAGCCAACTGCTCGCCATAATTTGAAGTATTTTAATTTTATACGAAATTATTATTTTCATTCTGAAGCGGTGAAAAGTGAATGGGCAAAGGCAAAAACTTGGCAAATATGTAATTAGGGAAATACTTTTTCGTAGAAATACTATTGTATATATACACATATATATATACAAACATTACATTATTTACAAATGTCATTTATGGCGAGCACTCGTAGATAATTTGCTTAGTCAGGCAACAAAAACAGCCAACGATTTAAAAATAATGTTCAATTTTCATACGCACCGGTGCCTCCACACATACTCATATGTGTACATATGTACATAAACCAGCGCACAGGGTCAAGCCGCATCGGTCGATCCTCCCCACCAGGGCCGTCTAGTGACACCATGCAAAAGTAACAGTTTTTTATTGCAATAAAATTTGATTGAGCGTATGCTGATGGGTTTTCCAGGCGCTCAAAAGCTAAGTGACCCACACACGCTTTTTTCTGTTTGGCCCCTATGCATATGTATGCATTTATACATGTGTGTATGTATGTTTGGTTGGCGATTAATTGAATGGAGATGCATGCGCAGCCACATTTGCCACTCAACACTACTCCAGAGTAATTTGGCTTTGTAAAGTGTAAAAAAGTGGTGCTTGTGTGACATGAAAAATTACTGTTAGCGCAAATAATTTGATTATAATAATTTAATGAATTTCATTTCAGTGAGTTCTCGTACAAGTGACATCAGTACGGTCAACAACAGCGGAAATAAAAAAAAAGTTGATTTGTTAGTTTATTGTTTGATTTACATACATGCATATGTATGTATATAGATTTGTTTACATACACGTACCTTATGTTTTAACTGTAAGACCGAACAAATTGCTCCAAACATTACAAAAATAAATATGTATTTTATTTAACAAATTTATTTTTTTTTTTAAAGAAAATATTTTTCATGAAAAAATATTTATTTTTCTTAAAAAAAAAATTTGTTTTTTATAAAAAAATATTTATTTAGTTGTATAATTATTTAAGCCTGTGGCATATATACATACGAGGTGATTAACAAAAGTTCGGTCAGTTGGTGACATTCAATTTGTTTTTGTTAAATAAAAATATACCAAATCCTTTACTTTATTACTTTATTAGTATTCCTTTCAAATTTTTGAACGATTGGCTAAAATGGAGACGAAAAAATGCAAAATGGCTGAGGATAGGACAGACGAAATTCCACCACCAAAGCAAACCGAAAATTGCCATGTGATTCTCTTCGGGTTTCGGCGAAATTTTCGGCGAATACAAATATTCAGTGAATGCCGAATTGCTTGTGGAACGTTTGCACCGTATTTAAAGACTATTTCTAAGTGGTTCCGAAGATTCCAGAGCGGACATATTTTTCCTAGAAGACGATCCCCGAGAAGGTCGACCAACATCTTCCAAAGATGACGTCACTGCAGCTGTGGTGAAGTACAAAATTGACGAAGACTCACGATTGACACAAGAAATGATTGCTCATGAACTGGGCTTGAATGCCATTGCGGTTGTAAATGAGACCCAAAAGGAGTGTCGAGTGCGTTTTGCTAAATTTTTCCTAAACAAATTTGAAAATGGTCAGTCTAGCAACTTTAGTAAAGTCGTTACTGCTGACGAATCTTGGTTCTATAAATACAATCCAAAAACCAAACAGCAGTCCATGGTTTAGAATCCAACAGGAGCAATTTCACCCGATCTGAAATCGTAGCTGCTATTTCACTAACAAAGGGTCAGATGGTGACTGCAAAATGGTACACCGAAGAGTGCTTAACCAAAGGTTTCAAAAATTGAAATTGAATTAATATGGTCTAAGCAACTTAGCCACTGCCTCTTAGTTCGCTTAGTCACGAATAAACCTTACGCCAAACCTTTGTCTCTTGAACTCCGTATGGCTACAAATCGAATGTCTTCAAAATGCACACTTCTGCACCATATACAGCAGTGCGATGAGCGATCTTTAATCTTTGTTCGCCGAGTAATTACTTACTTTCCAATAGCCTACTCAATCTCAAAAAGTGATTCTGCATGGGATCTCCAGAATGGTGAACCTAGGAGTCAAATGAAGAATGTGGTGGTGGATCCAGTCGGAAATCTTGTTTAGTATCGTATAACTCGGAAAGTCCACCACGATTCTGATGGAGCTTTGAGTGTTGCTAAGCGAGACCAACTTTCAAAATTAAACATATCTGCCTGGCCACTTTACAAACAGAGGTTAAGATAGTCTCTTCTGTCGTTAGTAAGTCCAATGGGGCCTACTTTATCAATGTGTCTGAGAGCTCAGGTAAGAGTCAAAGAGCCTTTTCATAGAAATAAGCCGTTTAGAACGGCTTCTGTGAATGCGAAAGGTTTCGTTTGAGGGCCGAAAGGTCTTGTATCCATTGAGAGTATAGGGGTGTATATTAAGGAGGTTTGAGTCAACAGAAAAAGCAACAAAGGGTATCTTCATTTATAAAAAAAATTGTACTTGTCCATTTGTGGCCCTCAGGGATACTTGGGATTACCGTTGAGGTCAATGATGGAATCGATGATGTAGTAAAATCGTTGTAAGGACTGCCGCTGAGCACAATCTAGTTTGCTCCTTGTAGGCCTGACTAACAACCAAAATTTCATTCATTTGATGCTGGAGTAAATAATACGAGCTCCAGAACTGAATAGTGAAGGTACAATCTTCTATAAGAGTGTAAGCTGCGGGCGTACCCCGATGATAACGACATTATTGGCCTCAACAACCGCCCCGTTAGTTCTCCTTTCTCCACACTCAAAAAATAAGCGAAGCAAATGGGTCTGGTAGTGGGCACGGCGAAATATCTCCTATCATCAAACAAACAGTCGTCGTATTCGCGACTCGGCTCCCACTTCACTATTGACAGTCATAACTTAGAAGTCGTAGATAGCTTCGCCTATCTTGGAACCAGTATTAACACCAACAACAATGTCAGCCTGGAAATCCAACGCTGAATCTTTCATGCCAACAAGTGCTACTTTGGACTGAGCAGGCAATTGAAAAGTAAAGTCCAAAAAACCAAGTCGCTCATCGTACCCGTCCTACTATATGGCGCAGAAGCGTGGACGATATCAATATCTAATGAGTCGGCTCTAGGAGTCTTCGAGAGAAAGGTTTTGCGAACGATTTATGGTTCTTTGTGCATTAGCAACGGCGAAAACCGCAGACGATGGAACGACGAGCTGTACGATGATGTTGACATAGCCCAGCGAATGAGGAGACAGCGATTACGATGGCTAGGTCACGTTCTCCGAATGGATGAAAGCACTCTAACTTTGAAAGTATTCGATGCAGAGGAAGAAAAAATCCTCCCCCACTTGGAAGGATCATTTGGAGAGCGATCTGGCTTCACTTGGTATTTCCAACTGGCGCCAAATAGCGAAAAGAAGAGACGGATGGCGCGGTTATCAATCATTCAGCTTCATTTAATATGATTCAGCTATAATCGCGTAAGCGGTGCCAACACCAATAAAGAAGAAGAAGAAAATCATCCAAAATTACTCAAAAAATATCAAATTGCATTCGCTCCTGGGCTGGGAATGTCAACCCTTCCAAAGGCATTTAGAGGCATTTTAGAAAAATATGTGGGTCTCTCCATTTGTAGGAAACAAATTCTATCGCACATCGCAAATAAGAGTTGGAGCTCCACGTAGAAAAAGCGGCATGCATCATAATGTCATTCCTCCAATTGGAGGGAGCCGCACGCTGATGTATTTTTAAAAGGCATTTTTTTATTTCATATCAGAATACACTCAACATTTCAAGGGACGCTCCTAGCTAGGAAAGATTTATTGCCCTTCAACTATCCCAACTGCCAGCGTTAAATATTAATTTGTCACATCGCACATTTGCTTTTAGCGACATCTCTTATTTCGCTGCTGTGACAAGCACAAGTATCAACCCTGTATATGCGGAACGAAGCGTATTCAATCACGGATGCCACAAACATGAGAAATAAATAACAATTTATTATATGAAATAAACTAAAAGTGTGATTCGAAATATTATTAATAAAAGCATAAAAAATTCCATTCATTTCAGTCTGGATCTAATAGCTGTATGAAAAATGGTTTCAAATTATAAGCTTAAGATATTACATAATGAATATTATTCCATATAAGAGACCAATTTCCTTTAAGAGTCTTGCATACGTCAAAAAGGTATTTTTAACGCTTCTATTGCACAGAAAATCACAAGAAAAATTGTTTGCGGCTCAACAAAGGGTCATGGTCATGCTTGAAGACTTTCTGAACTTCATTCTACCTTCATATACCCTAACGTGGCCCCTACTGTGGCACTTCCACCACCCGGCACCTTGGAACGTGATTTTGTTCACACTATTTTTCGTTTACTATTCCTTAAAAGATATGTATTTATTTTAAATTTTAATTTATCACTTATTAAGTATAATTTATTAACTTTCAATAAACATTTATTCCAAGTGAACTCATGTTAAGTGAATCTGAAGAAGCGCTTAAGCTAGTCCCTAATAAAGGTTAGTTTTTTAAGAGCTATAAGAAAGTTTAAAAAAACTCATAAAATTCAGAAAAATGCATAAAATCTTTATTTGAATCGAGAGTACAGTCCATATAATTTAATGTTTGAAGATTATTTCATGCAAATGTTGACCGTTACTGCGCCTCAAATGGTCCATCCGCTTAGTCCAATTATAAGCATACTCTTTCCAACATTTCGGCCGGTATCTCACGAATCTTGATGCTTTAATGTTGTCCTCCAACGCGTCAATTTAAGCGGGCTTGTCTGTGTAGACATTAGATTTACCATAGCCCCACAAAAATTAGTCCAAAGGCGTTAAATCGCACGATCTAGGCGGCCAATTGACCGGTCTTGAACGTGAAATAAAATGTTCTCCGAATTCGCCCCTCAATTAGTCCATTGTTACGCGTGCTCTGTGGCACCGTCTTGTTGAAACCACATGTCATGCAAGTTAAGCTCTTGCATTTTGAGCAAAAACAAGTTGGATATGATCAAAAGGTAGCCCTCAAGATTCAGACTTACCTAACGATTAACATCATCTTTGAAGAAATACGGTCCAATGATGCCACCAGCCCATAAGCCACACCAAACTGTGACTTTTTCTAGATGCATTGGTAGTCCTTGCAATGCTTCTGACTGATCCTCACTACAAAGTGGACAATTCTGCCTATTTACGCATCAATTAAGCCAAAAATGAGCTTCGAAGCGCTCGTGGAAGAAACTTGCGATAAATTTTCTTAACAAAGCAAATGTTTTGATAATAAAATTCAATAGGTTGCAAGCGTTGTTCATATGTAAGACGATTCATGGTTAAACTATAGACCAAACTGAAGATGTTTTACAGTGATTCAAAACACTAAACGCAAGTCAGCTGTTTAAACCAGTGTAGCGAAAAAGATAATAGATAAAAAATCACCCTTTAGTTGCAAGCGTTCCATAGCAAGAAAAAAGTTCCTATTTTTTTTTACTACTTACGGATATGGCAACAACGCAGTAATGTGAGAAATAAAATAAGCAACGAGTGCATTGGAATCAAATAGCGAGTAATCTCATTGAAAATGTCTCGCTGAATTACCTGTCAATAAAATATTAGAACAATCGAGAACGACTAGAGTGAAAAAATTTCAGCAGGCGTTTCGGCCACGGATAAAGTTTGGAATATTGTAAATAAACTTATTAGAAGCGTTTGCATAATAACTTCATCATGACACGTAAGTGCTAGGAAAGTTCTGTGCGCTTTAAATAAAGTTTTGTTGGTGCAAAAATTTATTGTAAGACTTGTGCTTAATAATGCAGAGTTTAAAGAAATATTTTAGGCATACAGTTATTAAAGGTTTATTATTTTGCTGGCTTCACTAAAAATAATATCATATACGTATATTATATATAGACATGAAAATTTCGTAGTTATATATGTACGGCGGTATGTAACTGGGTGTGCACCGAAAATATCAGTAAACATGTGAACATTTGAACATACATACAACAAAGCAAATATTGTATTGATAAGCAACTGTACATATAAATAAAACATTTCATTTCAGTTATTTTTTTTTTAACTTTCTTATGACGAGGTGGTGAAAGAAGTAGTGTCAAATAAGTTGCCGTATTTACTATGTTTATGTGCATATGTGAAACCGGAAACGTTTAATTTCTTTTCGAACAACCTTGTGATTGTGTACATTGAAAAACCGGTATAACACACTGAAATAAAGTAGGCAGCGCGATACATAAAAATGCCAATATTAAGCATATTGCTTATATGTATGTCGCAAAGCCTTTGCATTTCTTATAAAAAAATATAATTTTTTAACATTTGCTATAGAATAAAAATGTAAACTATTGTTTCCTTCCAACTTTGGTATTCTGCTCGGTGTGCTGATGGACAGTAACTTAATTGTTACCAATTGAAAAAAATTAAGGTGCCATTTTTAGTACATTTAAAAGTTAGTTTTTAAGACATTGTAGTCGCAGTGTCTAAAATTTGGTTAAGTGTATTAAAATATCATTAGTTAGGAAGAATTAGAGGCAATTGCTATTTTAATTGATAAAGTATATAATTGATAGGGAAATAATCCTCGAAACTGAATTCATTAAAAGAATATCTTCACACTAGGTTTTGATTGGATGGGATTGGAATAAAGTCCTATGACTAACTAGAAGTATCTATTTGTATGATTTTGAATTTATATTAGAAATTGTGAAATTTCATATACCTCTACATGCATGTACATATAAAATGAAATTATGGGCTATTAATATGAAAGTGAAATGTAATTTATATGATACGTGTATTCATTTATTTGATGTTTCAATTGTTATATTTTCCTTTTTCCAGGTGGAAATCAAAGAGATCTTGCTCGCCAAAAAGCCCAAAAGAAGCAACAAGAACAGAATAAAGGCAAACGAACGGATAATTTGACTGTTGAACAAAGAAAAGCAAGGTATCTTGCGTCTATTACACAAAAGTGTAACTTGCTTGCAATAACTAAATTTTCTATTTATTTTTATTTGCAGAGATGCCGAAGTAATGCGTGAAAAACAGAAAAAGAAAGAAGAAATAGCTGCTGCTGGAAAACCTAAATAATCGGCAAAAAATGTGACTAGCCGACAATTGCTATGGGCATTTAAGAGATATCAACTACCAGCAAACATTGAAAATACTTACGTATATACATATGTAGATTAACAATAACAAATTAATCTGCCGTTAAAACGATGCTATATTGGGACAGTCATAAGCGGAAGACGTCAAAAAGTTGACACATTGCAATAATAGCTGAAATAACAGTAATGAAGCTACATAATAATTTTTATTTTATTCAATTCTTGTAGATAAATGCCAAACATTAATTCCCGTAGTTGAAGATGCGAATACAAAATTCATGCCATCCATATACCCACACACATACTTTTTACATGCAAACGTAGTATATATGTATATTTTTTAACTTTGCCAATTAAGTATGTTGTCTTTCTTCTGCTTTATATTTTCGCCCTTGATTATTGATGTTGTTTTTATAAGACTAAATTTTAACGTAATATCAAATAAAAACAACATTTTGTATAAATTAAATTTCGATATAACTAGGTAAACAAAAAATCTTCACGAGAAGGCAGTCGATCCGAAACAAGGGAGAAAATGAGAGAGAAATTAAAGAATTCAATTAGAGATTAGTTACTTAGTATTTTAAGAAGATATTATGAAAACTTATATACAAATAAATATGCGAAAACTAAGTTAAATGAAAGTTTTTTAATTTATTTGTTTATTTTTTTTTGTTGAGACGCATTGTATGCAGCTTCATTAAACTACTTTGCTACGCAATTCTAATGTTTTTTAAATATATTTTTAGTTGCTGAACAGAGAACTTATAACAATTATTAGTTATAAGTTATAAGTTCTCAGACTGAGTTGCTACGTAAAATTTTTTGGGAATTCACTGTAGAAGTCTTTCATTTAAAAAATATTTGCATAATTTTAGGCTCGGCCTAAAAGCAAGAGATTCTGCAATGGAAGAAAACAGTTACAGTGTAAATTCCTTTTAAATAACTGAAACTCATTCGTTGTGAGGTGAAGTTATTGAGAGAGAAAAAAATAAATTAATTAATTAAATTAAACAAAATAGAGGAAAAAAAGAAAAATAAATAAAACTTATTAAGATAAAATAAAAATTCAGTTAAGCTTAATAATGTAAAATAAAATAAACAAAAAAGGAATAACGCTAAACGCAACAAATTCAAAAAGTATTTAAATAAAAACATTACATTAAATAAAATAAAATAAAGTTAACCAAAAGATATTAAAATGAAAAAAAAACAAATAAAATAAAATTAAGTAATATTACTTAACAAATTATTAAAAAAAATTAATAATATATTTAAGTTAAAATTAATAAATATACAATACACTAAAATTAAGTAAAATCATATTAAATTAAACTACATGATGTAAAACAAAATGAAGTGAAATTAAAGAACAAAAATAAATTAAAGTAAACTAAAACAAAAGAATAATATTAAATTAAAAAATTGAAATTCAATAAAAAAATAAACTTAAGTAAAAATAAAATAACTTAAAATCAAATGAACTAATATGCCATAAAACAAAATTAAGGAAATAGAAAATAAATAGAATAGAATAGAAATAGAAATGAAAAATTAAATAAAATGAAGTGTAATAAAATAAAAGAATTAAATTAAATTAAGTAAACTTAAATAAAAAAATGAAATTAACTAAAATAAAATAATTAAAATAAATAAATAAATGGAGGAAAATTACTTCAGTAAATTAAATATAATCAAATAAAACTTATTATTAAAATAAGATGAATGAAAAATAATAATAAATTAAATAATATAATTGAAACTTTTTAAAATATTAAATAAAATAAATTTAAGCAAAAATAAAGTAAAGTAGAAGTAAACTAAATAATATGCCATAAAACAAAATTAAGAAAAAAAATAGATAGAGTAGATGGAAGTAAAATAATAAAAAAATAAAAACAATAGAAAGGAAACAATACAGGAAAACTTAAATAAAATGATATAAAGAAGTAAAAATAACTAATAAATAAAAAAAATTAAGAAAATATTATATGAAACTGAACCAAAATTAAGTAATAACTAAAATAAAATAAATTAAAATCTATAAATAAAAAATTATAATAAATTAAATTAAAAAATGGATATTTATTAAAATATAAAACAAAAGAAATTTCTGAAAAAATAAAGTAACGTAGAATTTAATCAAATAATATGCCTAAAGACAATTTAAGGAAAAAAATTAAATAAAAAGAATTATATTAAATAAAGCAAACTTAAATTAAATAATAAAATTAAATTAAATAAAAAATTAATTATAAAAATAGATAAAGGAAATAAAATAAAATTAAGTAAAATGAAAAATTAAAAAAAATAATACAGAAACAAAAATAAATAAATATAAATCAATGAAAATAAAAATAATTAAATTAAATAAAGTGAAAGATAATAAAGAAATAAAAAATTAAGCATATAAGAAATCAAAAAAAAAATATATGAAACTAAACTAAAATTAATTTAAAATAATAAATAAATAAAATTAAGTAAATAAATAAAAAATTATTAAAACATTAAATAAAATAAAATATAACAATTCAAGGAAATCATACAAAATAAACTAAATTAAATTAAAAAAAAAAATGAAATAAAGAAATAAATTTAAATAAAGTAAAATAATTTCATTTAAAATAGAAAATTATTAAAGTAAAGTAAAGCGAAATATAATAAAAATTAATACAAATAAAGTGAAATTAATGAAAACATAGCAACATAAAGTATAGTAAAACAAAATAAAATACAAATTTATAAAAATAAAAAATAAAAATAAAAATGAAAAAAACTATTAAATGAATGAAGAGTAAAATACAGCAATTGGAATTAAAATAAAACCAAAAAAGTAAATAAAAGAAAATAAAATAAACAAGTAAAATTTAAAAATCTAAATAAAATATCTTTCATCACTAGCAAACGCTTACCAGAAGCAGTAACCGACAGCAACATATTGAAATATAATAAATTCCGTGGAAATAAAGAAAGTAACTGTGAATGACAACACCAAACGACCCACGACATCCTGCTGCTGTGGTGAACCGCACCGATGTGGCGAAACCCCACAACAGAACCAACAAACGCTGTTTGTCTGTATGTCCGCTGCTGCAGCCATGCGCGCAATTCAACTCCAATTCAATGCAATTCCAACATCGTTAACGTGTTGGCTTAAATGGTTAGGCGGCTATTGATGGCTGTTGACTATTTCTTTATCTTACACCTTGTTTATTTGTTATTTTCTATGTTTGTGCCTGTTTGCCCACCGGCGCGCCGACTCAGACTGAATGTCTTACCAAAACAACACAATTTCCGTATGTAATCCTCTAAACATTCGTACAAAGCCGTACCGTATGTATGTATGAGTACTGATAACTCAACCAACTATTGGTTGTCCAACGAAAGCGCAGCGCACCGCAGCAGTGTCAACAAATGGCAACAACAACAAATGGTTGAATTTATCTAGCATAGCTTGTTGTGACCCATAAGATTGCATGAGAAAAGTCCATCGACTGCAAATGATTGTTAACAACAAAAAACAAAAAAAAAAAACACACAACCAAAACAAGATTACCAACAACTAATGTTAACTAAGAAAGCCGTGAAAGGGAATATGTGTCGCATGTTGCACGTCGCACGTCGCACGTCGCACGTCGCCAAAAGCGGAGGAGAAGGATGCAACAAGGCTATTTGTTTTAGTATAAGAATGAGTAAACAAACCAAATCGCTAACAGCCATTCGCTGCTGGCCACCTTAAATGGTCAATTGGCGCATAAAGACGCTGCACAGCTGTGAAACTCTGGGAATTGGAAACTGTATATGTTGTTTGTGGAATAAATATCAAAATGTCTTAGCTGGAGAGCACAAAAAATGCACATTCTATGGACATGAGTTGAGAAACCTCTTACGTTTGAGTGCACGTTTGCGTGATGTGGTTGTTGTATTTTGGTAAATAACCATTTGTTTGATCTTTTTTTTTTGTTTTTTTTTTTTTAAAGATTTTGGTAAATGCAAATTTTCGATGTCAGTAACCGCTTCTTAAAGGACAGTACTTTGATCAAAATAGCTCTTCAGATCAAACTGAGTTTCTGTGACGACTTACATAATGTTTCAAGACCGAAGCGTACTAATGTAGAACTTAAACAGATGATCTATATGTGCCCATGATTTTGAAAGTGGTATAAGTCAAAAATTTTAAAAATCTACTTTATCAGCTTTTACTTGTCAAATCTTAATAAAATAATATAATCTGAAGAAAGTAGCAGCATGTCATTCAAATTAAGTCATAAAAGTGCGTTTATTTTTTTAGTTGTTAACTGAAATACAGATATTGTTGGTTTTGATAGTGGTATAAGTCAGTGTGTTCACAAAGTAATTTTATTACGTCTTCAGATAGTGGTTCAGGTAGGATGAAGTAAAACTTTTAATGTAAAAACCTACTATTTAAAGTTAATTGTAGACATTTTACGGCGAATAAATGGAAATAATGCTCCCAAGAAATGGAAACGAATAAGAATGATATCGTCTTCTGATGAATCAGATGCAGAACCCATACAAATGGAAGAGCGCAAAATGAAATCAAGAAAGAGGACACGCAATCCACAGAATTATGCGGAGTATGAAACAAAAAACTCTAAGCACGTGAGTGCTAAACTTTTCGAAAATAAAGATTGTCTTTGTTCCAAAAAGTGTTTAAATGGAATCGGATACGAAGACAGGAAAGATAATTTTGATTATTTTTGGAAATTAGCAAACTTCGAAAAACAGAATCTGTTTCTGTGTGGTTTGATTACAAAACAATTAATAAAGCAAAAACGCCCCAGAAATCACAAAGGATATGAGAAAATGGAGTCTTAAGTTTCATCTATATGTAAGTATAAGTACAAAAGATTTTATTTCTACAAAACAACTAAAAGAATCAACGAATAATAGAAAGAAAAACATCAATGGAGAAGCTGTGTCTTGGTTAAAAATACAATGGATCAGATTTCTAAAAAATGCCCCATATAAGATGTTTTATAAAACTTCCTTGGATGACAACTCCGAATTCAAAGTATTAGACCTCTCACCTAAAAAAGGAAGACCTAGAATATACGGAAATATTGATTTACTTCCATTATACACAACCATTAGACCAATAACAAAAGAAAAACGTAAAGATATGATGGATCTACTACCCTATATTCCACCAATTTTTCACAAACACTTTATTTCTCTAAATACTAATGAATAATTTACGTTGTCACAATGAAATGAGTTTGAATAAAACGTTAATTACTAATAAAATTGTTTCATTTTTGGTATAAGTCATTTATAAAGTCATAATTTTAAAAGTGGTCCAAGTCATTTAAACCTTTCAAAACCACATTTTCTTTTAAAAATGGCAATAAATTTCACAATCATAATAAGTACTTGTTTGTTAGGACTACTTTAATGTCGAAAAATCATAATCTATAATGCAAGAATATTTTTTAATCCTTTAAAATACAAAACTCTAAATATCTCGAAACAAAAAAAAATATGACTTATACCACTTTCAAAATCATGGGCACATATAATGACCGATGTACAAAGCAAACTGAGTTTGTGGAGGACGCACTTCGCCAGCCAGTTAAATTGCAGTAAAAGCGAGCTGTTGAAGAGCTCGTATATTCAATCGACTACCCAACTATGATAAAGTCCAAAAAACAATTACCCGCTTGAAGAGCAACAAAGCTAACTAACTGAGCTATTCTTATACGGCGGTGTAGAGTTGACAAAGTACATACATCAGCTTCTTTGCTCTGCTCATTCCACGGAAATGAGGACACCGACAAATGTCTCCGAAAGACTTACGGGATTTCATATAAATATATACATATGATTGGCACTTTGACACAGCTGAAGCGATTTTCGCCCGAGCGCCTCCTCCAATTTTAGTGTCTTGCTATTTTTCCAACAAATAGAGGGTCCAACAGTTTATACTAAGACGCCTCCGAACGGTTGATGTTTTTTTATGAAGAGCTTTTATTTCATGTCAGAAATACACTCGGAAGAGTTGACATTTCCTGCCGAGAGGCGACCGCAATTTGAGAATTTAACTTAAGTTTTTATTTAAATTAATTTTATTCTAATTCTTGGATGTTAGTACGACACCAGTATTTTAACCCGAGTCTTGCGAATGTCAGTACACAATGCTAACCACTCGGCGGAGTTTTTATGAGAGGATGAAACTAGTTCCGAGTTAACAGTGTGGACCGCCAAATCATTGAAAATACCCATTAGATCGCATATATGATTCTATCTAGCGTATTGTGTGAAAGACTAAAGTCCATCGTCAGCAAACTTATAGGACCTTATAAGAGTGGCTTTAGACCTGGTAAATCAATCATTGACCAGATATTCACCATGCGTCGAATCTTGAAAATCAATCATCAGGAAAGAATCGCTGAACACGACTCTTAGCTGTAGACAGCACACTTTGAAGCTGCCACTACGCTGCTACCAGAAGTGCAGAAAAATTTGGTATGGACCCCTCCGAACCATTCGATACCAAAACGAAGCTTCAGTCAAGGTGTTGGAAAAAATTATAAGAGCTGCAGATGTAAGTAGACAAAGTACAATCTCTTACAGGGGTATACAATAGCTGTAGTATGCCGATATCAATATCATTGGCCTTAACAAGCGTGACGTGAGTTCAACTTTCTACCAACTACATAGATAAGGTAGCGAAGTGTACGGTTCTGGTAGTGACCGAGGATAAGATGAAATATCATCAAACAAACAGTCGGCGCATTCACGTCTTGTCTTCCACATCACTGTTGGTAGTCATAACTTCGAGGTCGTAGATAATTTCGCCTATGTAAGGACCAGCATTAACATCGATATTAATGCCAGCCAACTCGGAATGACCATCAGGTGTCTCTTTAGGCTGAATAGGAAATTGAAAAGTAAAATCTTTACCCAACGAACTAAAACCAAACTCTACACAGTGCCTACATCATTCCCATCCTATTAAATTTTGCCCAGGCATTAAGCGTATTCGAAAAAATGCTTTCCGAAGTATTTATAGTCCTTTGCACATTGGCAACGGCGAGTACTGGAGACTACGGAATTATGAGCTGTACGAGTTATACACGAATTGACGCTGTCTATAACATCTCGTCCGAACGGAGGAAAGCACTCTAGAATTGCTGGTTAGGAAGGATCTGCGGGAGAGCGAGCTAGTTTCGCTTGCTATTTACAACTGGCGTCCAAGGAGCTCTAACTTCATATAAAACTCGTTATAATCTGCACTTCGTACCGTCCTAGTGTTCTTCAGAATGATTAAATTGCCGCCTTGTATTAGTTAATTCGATATCAAGTATACCTCAATATCTACACCCACCACAACCGCCGTCGTCACTCAAGAGGGTTTCTGGGAGTTGTGCTCTATTGATTAGCCACTGTTTCCTCTCACCTCTACCAAGTCCTACCATTTTCCCAAAACTCTATAGATTTGTTCAGCTTAATTTCCAAATGATTTGCTTGATCTTTCGCCTGTTCATGGATAATTAACAATGGCTTTAAAAAACTCAAATCGCCTGAGGCATTACTTTATATTTATGATTCGAAATGCATCGACATTAAGGGCTCGCGAGTTTTTAGAGAAAACGCTACTCAAAACACAACACAGCGTTAAGAGCTTTAGCGGCGTCAAGTTTAGAATGAAAAGTCAACACTGAGAGCACAGAGCAACTGATCTTCACTGCCGACAAAAGCTTTAGCTGTACAAATGTTTGCATCTCTGAGATCAACGCTAGATCAGCAGCAGCAATTGAATACCCGACGGACTTACTGGCGCACAGACTGACTGGTTGACTGACTGTGTGTGTGTGTGTGTGGCAGATCGCTTGCTTTAATAGCGAAAAGTGCTTTATCAAATAGTTGAATATTTATGTATGTATATATGTACATAAATACATGTATAATAAACAAATTGAAAAGTTTTGCGGCTGCCAGCTGCCCGTAAAACGCTGAAAACGCTCAGTTGTGAATTGAATTACGCTGCGAACGGACATAGCGTACCGAGGCGGTGTTTATAACATTTGAGGAGCGTGATCGGAAAACAGTTGCTTTGTTGATATTCTTGAAAAACGAATGTAGTATACAATATACTTATACTAGAATATACATATATGTTTACTTTGTGTGCAAAGATCTAAGGTGTTGAAGGTCGAAGCCGATGACTAAATTGTGCAGATGTTGTTGATGTAATGCGAAAGCAAATAAATTAGAGAAAAAAAACAGAATGCAAAATTAAAATACGCAATACAATTTTCAAGTTCAGTGCAAACGAGTTGGCTAAGAAATAAATTTACAATAAAGCTGAGTAAATACACTATATCACAGCAGATGTGTGTGTAACGAATAACTAAGGCAAGAAAAGCGAAACTTTTGTGTTCTTTGAAAACTTTTATTATACAATAGAATAAAATCTCAACGAAAAATCGCAAATTAAGCCAAGAGCGCAGAAATAACGAAAAGATGTAAGTGTGATAAAGAAATTAAAAAAAAATATTTGATGGCACTTTGTTGTTGTAATTATAAAAAATGAAGGAAATAAAAGAGAATAAAACAAATTAATTAAATGGAAATTAAATTAATTAAAGCAAATTAACAAATAAATATCAAAAGATATGTGATGGAAATTAATTTAAAAGTAAAATATAAATAAAATCAACTAAAATAAAGGGAAAGTTTTAATAAAAAAAAATAAAATTAGATTAAATTTTTGTGTATTAATAAAATAAAATAAAAAACTTACAAACATAAAAACTTAAAAAATTATTTGAAATTACCTAAAATAAAAAATAAATCATAAAATAAATTGACCCAAAATTAAATATTAAATAAACTAACTAACTAACAATGTGAAGAAATTTATATATAATAGCACAAAATAAAATAAAAAAAGATACAAATAAAAAAAAATTATTATGGACAATAAAAAAATCTAATAAAATAAATAATATCACTATAAAAAAAAACTAAACCAAACCAAATAAAATAAAATGTAAAGTAAAAATGACAACAAAATCAAATAAAAAATAATAAATTGAAACACAATAAATTAAGAAAATAAAATAAATTAAAACTAAAAAAAAATAAAAAAAAAATAAAAATAATAGTAGCTGATATAATAAAAAATTAAATTAAATAAATGAAAATGTACAAAATAATTAAACCCAAATGAAATAAAATAAAATATAAAGTCAAAATGACAACAATATCAAATGAAAAATAATAAATTGACACACAATAAATTAAGAAAATAAAAGAAATTGAAACTAAAAAAGAAAAATAATAATAGCTGATAAAATAAAAAATCAAATTAATTAAATTAAAATGTACAAAATAATTGAAAACAAATGATAAAATGTAAAGTAAAAATGACAACAAAATCAAATAAAAAATAATAAATTGAAACACAATAAATTAAGAAAATAAAATAAATTAAAACTAAAAAAAATTAAAAAAAAATAAAAATAATAGTAGCTGATATAATAAAAAATTAAATTAAATAAATGAAAATGTACAAAATAATTAAAGCCAAATGAAATAAAATAAAATAAAAAATTATAATTTAATCAAAACAAACAAAATAAATTTAATCTAAAATAAAAAAAATAAAATTGTTTATGTAAAACACAGTAAGTTAAAAAAAAAATAAAACAAATTAAAAATAAAAAAATGAAAAAACGAAAAATCAAAATAAAATAATTAAAACCAAATCAAACAAGAATTATTTAAATTAAAATTTATTTATTCAAACTAAAGGAGAAAAAATTAAATAGATTATAAAAATCATAATGAAAGAAAATAAAACGGAATAAGCAAAAAAAGTAGAATTTTAACCAATAAATGATAACAAAAAAATAAAAAAAATAACATAACAAGTCAAATCAAAAATAAATGAAATAGAATAAAAAATAAATTAAGTAAATATACAACAAAAAGGATTACGAGAAATAAAATAAATAAAAAATATGTTTAAAAAATGTAATAAAAATTACATTGAAATTAAATTACATCAAATATATTGAGATTAAAAAAAAAAGTAAATAGCATCTCAATTTATAGAACAAAACAAAATAAGTTAGAATTAAAAAAAAGTAACTTGAATGAATGAGAAAGGAATGAAATGAATTAACTAAACCAAAATAAAGTAGGATATGAAATAAATTAAATAAAATATAAATAAAAGTATTAAAAAATGTAAAAATATTAAATAAATTAAAATAAGAAAAATAATAAAAATAGAATAAAATAGGTATTGAAAAAAAAAAATAAAATAAATTAATTGGAACAATTAAAATTAAATAAAACTATTAAAATAAAATCTAAAAATATTAAATAAATTAAACAAAAAAAAATTACAAAAATGAACTTTATGTAGACTGCCGTAAGCATATTCTGAAATGCCAGCCAGTCTTAAATAATAAAAAAAAGTGTATAAAACTGATTATTAGGTAAAAAATTGAATTAGAGAGAAAATTAAAGTGCGTGAAGTAAACCAAAATTAATTAAAATAAAAAAAAATAAAAAAAATAAACTAAAATGAATAAATATAATAAAAAAGAAGAATTAAATAATGCAAATTTAATAAACAAAAAAATAATGGAACATACAATGAAATGAATTACTGTAAAAAAAAAATAAATTATAATATTTTAAATTATAAAATATAAAATAAAAACTTAATTGAAATTAATTTTTATTAATTCAATAAAGCAAAATATAGAAATGAAATAAAAAATGCATTATAACAATTAAATAAAATAAATTTAATGAATAAATATTAAATAAACAAAACAATTATAAAGAGAAATAAAGTAATATATAATAAATAAAAAATTAAATTATGTGGTAAAATAAAATACAAAACAGTAAATTAAATTAAATTAATAGTAGTAAATTAATTAATATAACCAAAAAAAATAGCTTAACATATAAACGAAATTAAATAATATAAAACAAAATAAATTTCTGTTTTGTTTTTTATGGAATTGTCTCACAATATATTTTTTGGAAATAGTGAAAAATTTACAACAACAGTTTTGGATGGTAGAAGTAATAGCTGCTATTTCGGAAACCATCACGCTTCCTCATCAGACTTCTTTTTCCAGACACCTTTGCTCGAATCGGAAATTTAATCAATTAAACAAAACGAAATATTTATAAAAATAAAATATATAAAACAAAATATAAAATATAAACGAAAATATGAAATAAAGTAAATAAAAAATTTTAAATGAAATAAAATACTTAAACTAAATAAATTTATATAATAAGGAATAAAAAGTTTAATGAATTTAATTAAATGAAACGAAACATAAAATAGAATATAAAAATAAAATTAAACAATAAGAAGTAATATAAAAATAAAAATAAAGTAAATGAATATATTAAATGAATTGAAGCTAAGTAAAATAAACCAAAAAATACATAAAATGAAATCAAATAAAGTAAAGTCCAATAAAATAAAACAAAACGAACAAAATTAAATTAAATAAACTAAATAAAAAAAAAATATTAAATAAAATGCAATAAAATAAAAGGAGATAAAACAAAATCAAAACAATAAAAATAACATAAATAAATTGAAATTAAATGAATTAAAATAAATTAAAATTAAATTAAATCCTGCATAAAATATTCGATTGTAAAGCGATAAATTCACTACACAGCAATGAAAATGTGTTATCCTTATACATAAATATGTACTATATATATGAAGGGCTTATACTTATAGCAAAGCTTATTGAATATAACAGAAAAAGTAAAACAAAAAAACAAAATCAAAGAATTTTATTCTAATATGTATATTTATTTGAGTAAGTTTCACTTACTTCTTGCTTGAAGTTCATTTTTTTCCAATTTTTTTTTTTACAAAATTTCGTATCTCTTTTAAAAAGATGGTTGCGAAACCAAAAAAAAAAAACCTTAGTAGATGCCAAGCTATCGCTGTCAGTACTGATCACAGAGCGATATTTATATATGAAATTATTTATCAACAGCTGCAATCAGTATCATTTTTTTTTATTTTTTTTTTATTTTTTTTTTATTTTTTTTTATTATACTGATAATGATCAAAACTGCTACCGCTTTTCACAGGCGCCGATAAGAGAGCAAGCATCATTTTTATATAAATTAAAGCAAATTAAAACATTTCATTTCGATTTCAATCGATTTCCCTTTTTATATGCGCATATATACATACATACATAACTATTTGTTTGCATGTGAGTACTAAATACATATACCTATATACAGAAAAAAATTTATTTGGCTTGCAGCTACATATGCATGTACGTGTGTATAAGTGAATTGGCATGCATTCGCTGTCGCATCATCAATGTGATTGAATTAAAACTGATCGAACGCAATTTTCAAGTGCAAATTCTCTATTTACATACATACATTCAACGCTATGCTGCTATACATACATGTACACTTACATATGTCTGTAAATGTATATTCGTACCGATATTTGTACATGAAAAAAAACAGATCGCCAATTTGATATTTGTTTTTTTTTGCGCATTTTTTTCGCTCAAGTAAAATCGAAGTGATAAACGATCGTTCGGAAATTGAGTTAACAGGCGTACAGCAGTTGTAAAGCGAAGGCGCCACCTTGAATTGAAAAAAGAAAGACGAGTCGAGACGTAACACTAGTATATAACACAATAAAATAACAACAACACAACAAAAAAACATAATAACACGTTGTTGTTATTATTATTTATTTTTTTTTTGTACTCACATACATTTTTTTATAACGAAACCTGTGTGTATGTGCCGCAACAATTATTGTTGTTGTTTTAATATCTAATTTAAATACAAAAGCAAAAAATAAAGGCAATGGCAACGGAGAGAAGTCCCCGCAAGCTTGTTACGTGACCAAAGCGACTCAGTCGAATTAGTCGAACTCACCAACGGTCAGTTCGGCAGAATGCGCTGCAGTCATGATGTTGCTCGGTAGCCACGTGCGAAAATCACGCGACTTACTAGTGAAATGAAATTAAGCACAATAACAACAACTAGAGAGTGTCAGTAGTACCGACGCAAAAAACACCTGCATCTCTCTTCACTCTAAACAAAGTGCATTCTTACTATCACCAAGCGATCGGCGCTCAGTAGCGAAGGTGTTAATTAATGCGTAATTAATGGAAATTTATTTATTGTTGCAATATAAGCTGTCATTATTACTTTTATTATAATATTCGTAAATATTATTTTTATAGTCATGAGCATTTGGATATTAAATTCGTAATTCGTTAAGCTACAAACATATGTACATACACATACATGCATACCCATATTTGTAAGTATTGCAGCCGGTGTGCGTTACAAAAGTTACTACAACGACGCAGCGGAAGGAATTTCTACGCACTTTTACTACTAAATATTCACAATTTATTCATACATACATATACATATATACAGCGTAGGCATTGCTTACAACAAATTTAATTAATTTCAGTTA